TGATGAGGTGGCAAGGAGGAGGAGGAACCCGAAGTAGAAGTGGGCTGTTGTCTTCTTCTCTCTCCTTTGTCTATTCTCCCTCTCTCCTCCTTCGTCTGTGTATGATTCTCACCTCATTCTATCATCACACACATTTGCGATTGTTTGTCATTCATCAGCAGATCGATAATCATATGGACTGGTAATGTTGATGAGTATCATCACGTCTGGGCTCATTGCAATTTGGTATCRGARCAGATCTTCCGATAGTGTGACAGAGACGACAACGACAATTGGTGGCATCTACATTGAAGTGGCTGACGTGGACAAGAGAGCGCACGTCAGATTCTGACGTGGCATTGACGTGGCATTGACGTGGCATTGATGATAGCGCATGTCATATGCTGACGTGGCATCCACGTGGCATTGATATTTGGAGTATGCAGTATCGCTGACGTGGCCGGTGGATCTTAGCAGATTGACGATGTGGCATTGCTGACTCACCATTCGGTGAGATAAGAGACTGACGTGGCAGTGTCATATTCAGTTACCCGGCTTACGTGGCGTGTTGGTACCGCTCCTGACGTGTACCCCCTCGATGATGTTGACTGGATTACGATGCTGACGTGGTAGACAGAAGTGCTGCTGTGTTGGCACTCCAGGGGATACACGTGGCAGGTTGGAACTTCGACTTCGGGGCAGGCTGGTATTTCGATTTCAGCATACATTGCTGACGTGCACCCCATTGATGATATTGATTGACCTGCTGACCTGGCATACTCATCGAGTTGCTGAGTTGGCAGGCCAGGTGTGACATGTGGCAGGCACGATCGTGCCTAAGTGAGGACAACATTCTGATGACTGAAGCGGCACAGCAAGAAGACTGACGTGGCTGTGGTGCCGAACGTCAGATTGTGTGCTGGTCACACAGGACAAAGAAGGACGAAACAGCAAGAAGGGAAAAACGCTAACTATTGATTGATTTTTGTTGGCGGACTTACCTGTTGTCTGGCTGTGTTGTGTACCTGTGTACTCACTTGTGTTGTTGATGATCATGCTGGCCTGGAGTTGTGGTACCTGAGATAGAGTAGGATGTCATCACATTGAAAACAGAACAGCAAATAGAATTAGAAATCTTCTGTTCCTTATTATTATTCTTTTGACTCAGATAGTGTCGGATAGGTGACCGTGAAATTATTGTCTTTTGGGGTAGAACAGCGTGCTGATTCAGGTGACCGTGAATTATTGTTTATTTTGCGATAAATAATCTGGCCAACGAATTTCCGTGTTTCTGTTCTCTCAAAATGTCTTACTTCTGGAAATGTCTGCAACAGTCTATCTTGACGAGATTCCTGACTACTTTCCTGTTTTCTTTTCCGATCGCACTTTCCGTTGGGGAAGGACCGTCTGAACTCAGGACAAGGGGACAGGCTGACAGAAAGAGAGAGGAACTGTTAGCCTTGTGGAATCAGTTCCTGGTGGAGGTACAGCTGTCTGGACCAGATGCCGAGCAACACATCCGTGATAATTTCGATCTTCAGGGGGTTGAAGACCGCCTGAAGAAGTCTATCACGGCTGTGGAGGTTGTGGCAGCCGGTACAGAGGCCTCCAAACTGATTGCTCAGGGGCGACAGGCTCTAGACCAGTTTGCTTTAAAGCAACTGGAAGAGATCATGGAAGCCACTCGCAAGGGGGAAGTAAAAACAGAAGTAAGTGAAGAATCGATTGATTCTAATATCCAGCAGCTAAGAGAGGCCTTGGCTGCGGAAGAAAGAAAGAAAGAAGAAGTATCTCGAAGAAGAGAACAGGAACAACGAAGAGGACAAAGAGTTAAAGAGATCAGGCAAGTAATAGGAACAGAAGTCGGTGAACAGACTGACATGTTACAAACGTTGGCTCATATTGTGACATATCTTACCTTTCTAGAAGAGAAGATTGATAGACACCAAAATCAGTTGGATGAAATCGCTGTTGGATTGAGAACAATTGCTAATATTGTGAAAGGTAAGAATCAAATTCAGGGAGAAGAAGAACAAGAAGAGAACAAGGAGAAGAAAGAAGTAAAGAAGTTGATGGGGGACACAATAAAGTCTGCTGGTCCCGTGATAAAAACAAATGGAAATGGATCAAGTCAACCATCTACTCCTCACTCTTCTCATTCTTCTAAGTTTACTCCTAAAGAAACTGCAAAAAAGACAAGCGCTGAACCGGAAAAACCGAAGAAGAAAGAAAAGGTGAAGATGAAGTTGCCATTTACGTTTTGCAATAAGAAAGAAGAAAGTCTGTTGCTGTGGATTGCAGAAATCCAGACGTATGTGAGTACCGCACCGGTCGAGCCGGAGTCCCAAGTCGCGTTCACCACTTCTTGCATGGGTGGTGAGGCCAAGCAATGGGTGTTGGCCGAGGCCAATGCGGCGGGTTTCGAAGATATCGGTGAGTGGGCAAAGRCAYTGACRCTGAAACARTTCTTGGYGAAAACCARGGACCGTTTCCTCGACAAGACGACGGCCGACAAGGCCTT